ACAAAGAACGTGTCAAAAGATCCTTAAACAGCATTTACTACGGACCACATGCTTCTCTGTGCGTTTCACAATTAGCAACCTTTTTAATTCTTATAGGAGTAGGGACTTTGGTTAGTCCCCACTTTAGAAATGAGGAAACAGAGGCAGGTGGCATTATCTGTAATGTCTGCCATGAAGGTATTAAGAATGGGCATTAGGCCATCTGCTTCAGACTTGGCAGAACTGGCTCAGATCTGGGCTCTGTAACCCACTGGCTGTGGGACCTTGGACAAGTTGCTTCATCATTCTGGGTCTCAGTTTCCTCAATCATAAAAAAGAGATGATGCATCTCTCACAGGGTGGTTGTAAGAATGGAATGGAAATGATATATGTGAGCTGTCTTGTCCCTGCCTGGCACACAGCAATTGCTCAATAAATGATGACTCATTTCTCTCACAGTAGGTGCTCAGCAGGTGTATGGGCATGATTCTCTGCATGGAGGGTGGCTGTGGGGACTCTGAGAGGGATAAAATTCAACTTAGGGTCCAGATCAGGAGCTGGGTTGAATGGCCATGGTGTCTGTAACAGAATGCAAAAAAATCATTTTATAAATAAAGTTTAATTTCAAACACAGAAACAGTTTAAAAAATTTTAAAGCATGTTACCTAAAACCATGCACAGAGCCCTTCATGATGTTTAATAAGAAGTTCAAAGATATCTGTTAATATGGTGAATTATATTGACTGATATTCAAGTGTTAAACCAACCTTGCATTCCTGGTCATGTTTTATCTTTTTTGTATATTGCTGGATTCAATTTGCTAATATTTTGTAAAGGATTTTTGTTTCTATATTTATTCTTTTCCTATATTTGCCTTAGTCAGGTTTTTTTTGTTTTTGTTTTTGTTTTGAGTTGGAGTCTCACTCTGTCACCCAGACTGGAGTGCAGTGGCCGCTCCCGGCCACCACAGCCTCGACCTGCTGGGCTCCGGCGATCCTTCTACCTCAGTCTTCCAAGTAGCTGCAACTACAGGCATGCGCTACCACGCCCAGCTGATTTTTTGATTTATTGTAGAGATGAGGTCTCGCTGCCCAGGCGGGTCTTGAACCTGCGGGCTCAGGCAATCCACTCACCTCAGCCTCCCAAAGTGTGGGATTACAGGCTGAGCCACCAAGCCTGGCTCTTGGTCAGGTTTGATATCAGGTTAATACTGGCCTCTTAAGATAAGTTAGTTAGGAAGTGTTACCTCCCCCTCTATGTTCTGTAAAAGTTTGACTAGGAATGATGTTATTTTTTCCTTTAATGTTGGATAGAATTCACCAGTAAAGCCATGTGGGCCTGGAGTTTTCCTTGAGGGAAGTTTTTGTTTATTAAATTACACATTTGACTTCTTTTTTTAAAATTGTGTTTTTAAAATTTTAAATTGTGATAAAATGCAGATAACACAAAATTTACCATTTTAAGGTAAATCTTTAGATGTAGAGTTCAGCAGCATTAAGGATTTTCACATTGTTGTGCATCCATCACTACCATCCATCTCTAGAACATTTTCATCTTCCACAAATGAAACTCTATACCCACTAAACAATAATTCCTCCCATTTCCTCCTTTCCCCACCCCCTGGCAGTTACTATTCTACTTTCTATCTCTATGATTCTGATTATGCTAGGCACCTCATATAGCTGGAATCATGCAGTATTTGACCTTTTGTGTCTGGCTTCTTTCACTTAGCATAATGTGTTCAGAGTTCATCCATATTGTAGCATGTGTCAGAATTTCCTTCTCAATTTATTTATTTGACATACGGCATTCAGTTTTTCTATTTTCTTTTTCAGTTTGGTAATGTGTATCTTTCAAGGGATTTGTCTATTTTACCTAAATTTTAAAAATTATTGACATAAAATTGTTCATTTACTTATTTTTTAAAATATCTGTAGGACCTGTGTTGATGCTTCCTCTTTCGTTCCTGAGAATGGTAATTTGGGCTTTCTTTTATATTCATCTTTTAAATACCCAGCTTCTGATTTTCTTCATTGTTTGTTTTCTATTTTATTGATTTCTGTTCTTTATGATTTCCTTCCTGTATTCACTTGAGGTTTAATTTGTTCTTATTCTCATATTTTTGGAGGAGTTTAGATCATTGATTTTAGACTTTTCTTCTGTTCTAATAAAAGCATTTAGAGCTACACATTTCCTTCTAGGCACTGCTCTAACACAAATTTACCACAGATTTGGATGTTTTAATTTTCATTCAGTTCAAAATATCTCCTAAATTCCCTTGTGATTTCTTCTTTGAAACATGGATTATTTAGGTGGTTGTTATTCAAGTTCTAAGTATTATGGGATATTTTAGGTATATTTCTGTTATTGATTTCTAACTTAATTCTATAAGATTAGAGAAAAACCTCATCATTATTTCAATCCTTTCAAGTTAATTGAAACTTCTTTTATGGTCCAGCATATGGTCATCTTAGTGAATGTTCATGAACATGTTAAAAGAATGTATGCTTTGTAATTGTTGAATGGAGTGTTTTAGAAATGTCCAGTAAGCCAAGTTAGTTGATAGTACTATTTAAAGCTTCTAAATTCATTCTAATTTTTTGTCTGCTTATAGCAATTACTGGACAACAAGTTTTGAACTCTCAACCATCATCATAGATTTGTTTATTTCTACTTTCAGTTTTATTAGCTTTGCTTCATGTATTTTTTAAGTTCTGTTACTAGATGTATATACCTTTAGGACTGATATGTCTTCATGATGAATTGACTACTTTATCCTTAGAAATATACCTCTTTATCCAGTATTATCCCTGATAACATTCTTTAGTGTATTTTGTGTGCATTAATATAGTCACTTCAGCTTTCTCATGCTTAGTATTGTTTAGTATATATTTTTCTATCATTTTACTTTTAACCTAATTGGGTTTTTATATGTGAAGTGGGTTTCTTATAAATAGCGCATAGTTGAGTCCTGCTGTTTTATACAGTCTGACAATCTCTGCCTTTAACTAGTATGCTTAGGTCATTTACACTTAATGTAATTACTGATAGAATTCGGCTTAAATCTACCATGTTACCATTTGTTTTCTGTTTGTCCCATCTGTTGTTTGTTCTTTTTTCCTCCTTTCCTATCTTCTTTTGGATTAAGTATGTTTTAGTATTCTGTTTTCTCTCTACTGTTGTCTTATTAGTTTCCTATCTTTTTCTCTTAGTGGTTGTCCTAGGGTTAATAATATCTTTTATTTATATCAAAATATCTTCAAATAATATTATACCACACTTTTAAGATTTTCTCTTTGCCACTGGTTTCAGCAATTTGTTGTTTTTTGTTGTTGTTGTTTGTTTGTTTTTGTGTTTTTTTTGAGTTGGAGTCTCACTCTGGAGTGCAGTGGCCACTCCCAGCCACTGCAGCCTCGACCTGCTGGGCTCCAGCGATCCCTCCGCCTCAGCCTTCCAAGTAGCCAGAACTACAGGCACGTGCTACCATGCCAGGCTAATTTTTTATTTTATTATAGAGATGAGGTCTCGCCAAGTTGCCCAGGCGGGTCTCGAACCCGCGGGTTCAGGCAATCCACTCACCTCAGCCTCCCAAAGTGCCAGGATTACAGGCTGAGCCACCGAGCCTGGCTTCTTCGGTTCCATTTAAGAAGGCTGACTTAGACCTCAGACAACTTAGGGTGCTTGAGAGGCGACTGGGAGGTGAGCATTTACTGTTCTAGTCTTCCTCTTGGTGGGACAGAACTGGGTTTGCAAATGACAGTGTTTGGGGTAGGATTCTGGCATGTGGCTCAGAACACAGTCAGCCACTTCTGGGATTTCTTTCATATGAAAAATTAGTATTAGACCTCCAAGAGCAAAATCAGAGAAGCTCAGAGCGCCTGGGGTGATTTGTAGTAGAGAAATCCTCTTCCTGCTTCCTAGTGCCCAAGGATAAAGCGGTGTCCGGGAGGGCAGGCCTCTGGGATCTGGCCCCATGGACTCTGCATCCGCCAGCAGCCCTCCCTACTCCAGGGACCTCTGCCTGGATGCGCTGTGGGACCCCAGGCTCCCTGTGGCTGCATCTCATCAGCAAGTTGCTTGGGTTCAAATCCTGTATCCACCACTTATCATGTGTGTGACCTCAGGCTGGTTTTAAATCTCAGCTTCTCCCTTTGTATGTAAGATGAACATAGACATAGCACCGCGCCTTTGGGTTGGTGGGCGTTGAATGAGCTGTAGGTCTCAGCTGTGCACTGGGCATTTATCAAGCACCTGCTGTGTGCCAGACACCGTTCTTAGCACGTCTTGTGTGGAACTGATTTACTCTTCACAACAAACCTGCCAGGAACTCTCTTAGCCCCCATCTTGTAAGATGAGGAAAACTGAGGTGCAGAGGAGGTGAGTGACTCATCTAGGGCCCTAGAGTTCCAAGTGGTGGAGCAGGAATGCTGGGCCTGGACCCACATTGAAGTCAGTGGATGCCACAGCCCAAGCTGTTAACCTGGGTGGTGCCACCTCAAGAGCTCGGCTCATGGTCCTGTTGTTACCATCCAGTTCTTGGTGAGCTAAGTTGACTCTTCCTCCAGGATGTCTTCCTTAACTGCTGAGGCAGAGTGGGTAGTCACAACACTGAGCCTCTGCTGAGTGTCTCTCAGAAGCCCTTTCTCTGGGATTCTCCCCTTCCCACTCTGGTTTCAGAGCAGCGGGTATCTTCTCCTGTTTCAGTGCCAGGGAAGGTGGCACAGAGTGTCACATTGGTGTGAGCAGGCTCTCTGCACCACACCCTGATGGTGTGTCCCCAGGAAGATCGCTTTGCCTCCCTGTGCCCCACCTTCCTCTTCCCCAGAAGGCTGACATTACTTGGAGACGGGGCTTCCTCTTGGAGGGCTGAGGCTTGCGTGGGATCGCTGTGGGAAGTGGGCACACCATGGCTGGTGCTCAGCTGATGCTGGTTATTGGGGACGTGTCTCAGAAGAGACCCTTGCAGCTTGTCAGGGTGCACGAGCTGACGTTGGCTTTTTGGGAATGTTTAGAAGTTCCTGATGTCAACCAAGTACAACAAGGACTCTAAGATGTACTGCGCGCTCCAGACGGTGTTTGGCGAGAGGTGAGGAGGAGGTGGGAGGCCCAGATGGGAGGCTAGAAGAACCCTGCCATAAGGGAGGACCCGGGGGACAGGACCTATGGGGCCCAGAGTGCCAGGCATGTGCCAGGTGCCCCATAAACAGCGGCTCTACCCCTTTCATTCGTGGCCTCTTTCTCCCCCTGCCCCTCCAGATGGCAGGGAATATGGGGTTCTGAGGATGGCTCGCATGATCACCTGGTTCCACCTGGTTATTTTTTTAAATTGTGACAAAATGGACGTGACAGTCCCCATTTCTCCCACCTGAGTGAGCACAGTCCGGTGGCATTTAGTACACTCACTGTGTGGTGTAGCCACCACCCCTGTCCAGCTCCAGACCGACTTCCTCATCACAAAAGATTGCCCGAGCCCACCCAGAAGCCCTTCCCCGTTCCCTCATCCCCTTTCTTGCATCAAGCGTTTGTCTTCTGCAGACTCTTTGGCCAAGGCTTGGTGTCCGAATGTGACTATGAGCGTTGGCACAAGCAGCGGCGAGTCATGGACTTGGCCTTCAGCCGGAGGTGAGTGCGGCTGGAGATGGGCACGGTGGCTCCGGCCCGGCCAGGGGTGGCACGGGGCTGCCACAGCATAGCTGGGCCTTGGGAAGGGGGTGTCTTCAACTGAGGGGCCTCGCCCTGCGGAAGGGGGAGAGGAAAGAAAAGGTGTCAGTTACTCAAAAGAAAAAGCGAGACGGGTCGGCCCAGTGGAGCATGAGGTTGAGTGAGGTTCCCACGCATTTGGGGACATCAGTGACCGAATGCCCAGATGGCCAGAGGCATGGGATCCCTGTCCCCAAGAACCTACCTCCCCATCAGACCTCATCACACCTTGTCTGGGCTTCTTATTTTATTCATTTTAGGGGGGTTTTTTTGTATGTGTGATACAGCCACTCGCCATGTAAGGTCAGGGACTGAATGTGTATACAAGAGGTGATAAGGTCAGATTGGGGCTGAAAACTTCCTGCCGCCCAGTGATGTCGTAGCTGCCATCACAACACAGTGTAACACGTCACCCACATATCTGTGGCAATACTGGCTCAAACAGACCAGTGCTGCTGGTCACATAAAAGTCTAGCACAGGCCGGGTACAGTGGCTCACATCTGTAATCCCAGCACTTTAGGAGGTCGTGGTGGGAGGATTGCTTGAGCCCAGGAGTTTGAGACCAGCCTGGGCAACATAGCAAGACCTTGTCTCTACAAAAACAAACAAACAAACAAACTGGGTGTGGTGGCTCATACCTGTAGTCCCAGCTACTCAGGAGGCTGCGGTGAGAGGATCGCCTGAGCTAAGGAGGTTGAGGCTGCAGTGAGCCATGAATGTGCCATTGCACTCCAGCCTCGGTGACAGAGACCCCAACACAAAAAATAAATAAATGCATTTTTTAAAGTCTAGCATGTACAATTAATTACAGTACATAATATTCAATAATTATAATGAACAACTATGTTACTGGTTTATGTATTTACTACATTCTACTTTTTATTGTTATTTTAGGGTGAACCACTTCTTATATATATATTTAAAAGTTAACTGTAAAAAATAGCCTCAGATCCTTCCAGAAGAAGGCATTGATTTTACAGGAGAGGACAGCTCCATACATGTTGATCCCTGAAACCTTCCAGGGGAACAAGGTGTGGAGGTGGATGACAGTGATATTGGTGATCCCGACCCCATGTAAGCCTAGGCCAGTGTGTGTGCTTGTGCCTTCATTTTTAACAAAAATGTTAAAAATTTAAAGCAACTAAATAGAAAAAGCATATAGAATAAGGATATAAAGAAAGAAAACATTTCTGCACAGCTGTGCGATGTGTTTGTGTTAAGCTAAAAAAGTTTATCAGCCGGGTTCGGTGGCTCAGCCTGTAATCCCGCTCTTTGGGAGGCTGAGGTGAGTGGATTGCCTGAGCCCGCGGGTTCGAGACCTGCCTGGGCAACTTGGTGAGACCTCACCTCTACAGTAAATCAAAAAATTAGCCAGGGGTGGTAGCATGCGCCTATAGTTCCGGCTACTTGGAGGGCTGAGGGGGAAGGGTCGCCAGGGCCCAGCAGGTTGAGGCTGCAGTGGCCAGGAGTGGCCACTGTACTCCAGTCTGGGCGACAGAGTGAGACTCCAACTCAAAAAAAAAAAAAAAGTTTATCAATAGAAAATGTTACAGTGAGCTAAGCTTAATTTATTGTTGAAGAAAGAAAAAAGAATGTACTAGAAGCGTGCCTGAGTGTCCAGTCTCATGAACTCTGCAGTCGTGTCCAGTGATGTCCTGGACTGTCATGCTCAGTCACTGACACAACCAGGGCAGCTTCCAATCTGGCAAGCTCCACTCATGGTGAGTGTCAGTACACATGTACCATTTCCCATCTACGCTGTGTTATTACTGTACCTTTTCTGTGTGTAGAGACTTAAATACCATCATGTCCCAAGTGCCTGTGGTATTCAGCACAGTCACATGCTGTCCAGGTTTGCAGCCCGGCAGCAAGGGCTGTCCCACAGTGCTGGAGTATGTGGCAGGCTGCACCATCTAGACTTGTGTAAGTGCACTCCACCATGTTCCTACAAGCATGACATCATCAAACAACACATTTCTCAGAATATATCCTAGCTATTAAGCAATGCGTGACTGTTTTCCCTCTTTTTTTGGAGTCAAGGTCTCATTCTGTTGCCCCGGCTGGTCTTGAACTCCTGGGCTCAAGTAATCCTCCCACCTTGGCCTCCCAAAGCACTGAGATTACAGGTGTGAGCCACCACACCTGGCCCTATAGTTAACTTTTTTAATAGCTCTTTTACTGAGATATAATTCACATACCACACAATTCACCCATTTAAAGTGTACAATTCAATAGGTTTAGTATGTCTGTAGAACTGTACGACCATCAACAATTTTAGAACATTTGCATCACCCTCAAAAGCAGTCACTCCCTGTTCCTTCCCAATGCCCCAGCCCCTGGCAACCACTGATTGACCCCCTGTCTCTACATTTATGTACACGTTTTTGGGTGGATATATGTTTTCATTTCTCTTGGGTATTTATCTGGTAGAATCTCTGAGTCATATGGTAACTCTATGTTTAACATTTTAAGAAAGATAATCGTTTACTTTATCATTTCAAACATATAGAAAAATTGCCAGAAGAATGCAAAAGACTTTTATATATCTTTTACCCAGATTCACTTATTGTTTACTGTTCAAATCACCATTACATTATCATTTCCCCTCTCTCTATGTATATATATAAATAGATATCATTCTCTGTGTGTGTGTAATTTATATATTTTTGTATAATGCATATTTTATTTTTTTTTTATTTTGAGTTGGAGTCTCACTCTGTCATCCAGGCTGGAGCCATAGCCTCGACCTGCTGAACTCAGGTGATCCTTCCACCTCAGCCTTCTAAGTAGCTGGAACTACAGGCATGCGCCACCACACCCGGCTAATGTTTTGATTTATTGTAGAGATGAGGTCTCAACAAGTGGCCCAGGCTGGTCTTGAACCCGTGGGCTCAGGCAATCCTCTCACCTCGGCCTCCCAAAGTGCTGGGATTATAGGTGTGAGCCATCACATCCGGCCTAGTGCATACTTAAAAAACCATTTAACAATAAGTTGGAGACATTGTACTTCTTACCTTTCAATACTTCTATGGATATTTCCCAGGAAAAATGACAGTATGACTATAGTTATTCTCATTATTGAAATGAGAACAATGAGTATTAATCTAATACTGTTATCTGTTATCTAATCCATCATTCATATTCAAATTGTGTCATTCGTGTAGTTACAGGTATCTTTCCCTTGTCTAAGATCCAGTCCAGGTTCGCGTGCTACATTTAATTGCTTTGAACCTGTGGGCTACTTTAATTTCAGAACAGTTCTCAGGCCTTCCTTGACTTTCTTGAACCCAACACTTTTGAAGATGACAGGCCCGCTTTGTAGACAGCTCTCCCGTGTGAGCTGGTCTGCTGTTTGCGATTAAACTCCGACTGTGCCTCTTTTCTGGTCATGCCACGGAGTGATGCTGTGCCCTCCTCAGGGTGTCGTGTCAGCAGGCACGTGCTGCCGATTCATCCCATGGCTGGACATGTGACTTCTGGTCACTTGGTTAAGACGGTGTTCTCCAGGCTCTTCCTGCTATGGAGCAACTCTTTATTTTTTTTTTAAAGCAGGATTGATTGAGTGGGAGGGGACCCAAAGGGGTTGCCCAACTCTTTTTTTTTCTAGATTGGAAAATGCAGTTTATTTAGAAAGTAAATTTTAGAGAGGAGAGAGAGGAGATTCATCTTCCCAAGGTAGGGGAGGGGGCCAAAGCTAAGAAACGGCCATGGCTCAAAGATCCATGCGGCCATGGCTCAAAGATCCATGTGGACACACCAGAGTTTAACAAAGCAGGGGCCACAACTCTTTTTATTCATTTATTTTTTTTGAGTTGGAGTCTCACTCTGTGACCCAGGTTGGAGTGCAGTGGCACACTCCTGGCCACTGCAGCCTTGACCTGCTGGGCTCAGGCCAACCTTCTGCCTCAGCCTTCCAAGTAGCTGGAACTAAAGGTGCATGTCATCATGCCCAGCTAACTTTTTTGATTAGTTGTAGAGACGAGGCCTCGCCAAGTTGCCCAGGCCTAACGCGAACACCTAGACTCAGGCAATCCTCTCACCTCGGCCCCTAAAAGTGCTGGGATTACAAACTTGAGCCACCGTGCCCAGCCCGCAACTCTCGAATATGTCATCTTCGGGGTCCTCTTGCCATAGACTCCTCACTGGCCTTTCTGCCTCCTATCTCCCTCCTCCAAGGCATCTACCCGATCACCCTGGAGAGATCCTACTAAAACTCAGATCTGACCAGGCCACTCACATTCTGAAGCTTTCAATGGCTCCCTGTAATCTGAGGGAATCAAGGTCAGACCCCACTCACCCTCAGTCAGCCCACCAACCCCGCCAAACTTTGCATCCCCTCTCTCCCCCACCTTTCCGGAAAACACTGTGTCATTTCTGGCATCTCTGCCTCTGTTCCCTCTGTTCCTTCTGTCTCGGTGTGCACCCTCTGGGGAATTCCTGTCTCTCCTTGGATACCCAGCTAAGATGTCACACTCCAAGGCTAAGTTCTCGCCTCATCAGGGCTCCTGTCACACCCAGTGCAGGGCTTCCGTTCATGTCCACCTCCCTCACTAGACTGCAGGTCCTGAAGGCAGAAGGTGCCTCCTGTCCCTGACTTGTGTTCCCCACAAGCCCTCCAGAAACGCCCACAGAGGAAATGAATGCATAAGTGAATCAATGAATGGGAGTAGTCTTGTTGGTACTGGAAAGTTGTCTGAAGTGAGAATGGGAAGGAATAGATCGGAGAGAGGCATTTATTGAATCAATTCATATTGTGCTGAGAGCCAGGTTGACAAAGATCAGCCAAACTGATGTGGTCCCTTCCCTCAGGAGCAGGGACCTGAGGTCACTGAAGGACACAGGTTCTAGCCAGATAATAGTCCACATAGTCATCACATAACCATGTCACCATCTGGATGAACCCTCTTAGCCAATAGGACCTCATATTTGAACAACACTGTAGATTATTAAGTCCTTTCACAGAAATTTTTTTTTTTACATTTTTAATTGTGATAAGATACACATAACATAAAAGTTACCATCTTAACCATTTTAGGTGTGCAGGTCCGTTGTATTAAGTTCATTTCTCTTATTGTACAGTCATCACCAGATATTTTTATTTTTTCACTCCCACAGTGGGGTGTCATCCTAGAGATGACAATTTTATTGTGAATGCCAGATTCACAAGTTTCTATGAAAGAGGCCTCAGCAGATGCCTGTTGGTATTTATGAAAGTCTTCCTGAGTCTTGGTGAATCCTGACTCACTAATGAAAAAAATAATAGGAACCCCCTTGTGAATTTAATCTCCAAGCCATCATCCACCTAGAATACCATTACGTACTTTTTTTAAATTAAAAAAAATTAACTTTATTAAAATATAGTTAGCCTACCATGTAATTTACCCATTTAGGTTGTACAATCCAATTTTTTTTTCTTATTTAGATGGGTACAATTCAGGGTTAGGTATACAAATAGTCATTGTACAGGTAAAGTTTGGGCCTCACTGTGGTCCCCACTTCACCTGGTTTGAGATCAGGTACCTTCATTGATGTAGTGTACTCCCCCTCCTCCCCTGGCAGTTCCCCATGACTGCCAATCCCTTTCTATGGTATTATGGTAATTGTTCAGGGTCCGCTTATGAATGAGAACATGAGGTCCTCAGTTCTTTGATTCTGTGATAGATCACTCAGTATTTCTTTTTTTTTTGAGTTGAATCTCACTCTGTCATCCAGGCTGGAGGGCAGTGGCATGCTCCCAGCCACCGCAGCCTCGACCTGCTGGGCTCAGGTGATCCTTCCACCTCAGCCTTCCAAGTAGCTGGAACTACAGGCACGAGCCACCAAGCCCGGCTAATTTTTTGATTTATTGTAGAGATTAGGTCTGCCAAGTTGCCCAGGCTGGTCTCGACCTCTTGGGCTCAGGCAATCCTCTTACCTTGGCCTCCCAAAGTGCTGGGATTATAGGCGTGAGCCACCGCACCTGGCCGATCACTCAGTATTATAGATTCTAAATCCATCCAAGTTGCTGCAAAGATCCCATGTTTTTGCAGTGTATTCACAGGGTTGTGCAGTTATAATACAATCTACTTTTAGAACATTTCTGTTGGTCCCAAGTGAAAGTCCATGCCCACTGGTAGTCACTCTCCAATTCCTCCTCACTATTCCCCTAGCTCGCTCTATGCTACCCCTAAATTACTTTCTGCCTCTACAGGTTGGCCTGTTCTAGACTTTCACATACATGGAGTCATAAAAAGTACTACTATGCACTTTTTTTTGAGTCAGATCTCACTCTGTCGCCCAGGCTGGAGTGCAGTGGCATGCTCACAACCACTGCAGCCTTAATCTACTGGACTCAGGTGGTCCTTCCGCCTCAGCCTTCCCAGTAGCTGGAACTACAGGCACACACCACCACACCTGCTATTTTTTTGATTTATTGTAGAGATGAGGTCTCACCAAATTGCCCAGGCTGGTCTTGAACCCCTGGACTCAGGCAATCTTCTCACCTCCGCCTCCCAAAGTGCTGGGATTATAGGCTTGAGCCACCACACCTGGCCACCATTATGTACTTTTAATAAAATTGTCAGCGTACACTGCCAGGGTCTACATTTCTAGATTTTACTTTTAAGGGAAGACCTAGGTCCTAATCCTTCCCACGAAAGACCCAAGGATTGGAATTTTGCTGTACACCTCACACTCCAGCTCAGCATTGGGTATTTATAGTCACTGCAAGAGATTCAGTGTCGATACGGCAGCCAGCCACATGCCATAGTCAACTTGATTGTGATTTTAAAAAAGACAACCATAAATAATCTTGCAAGTGAATGTATATATGCAAACCACGTACGTTTTATGAAGAAAAAGTCGAGGTGCTACAGGACCGTCTATCGGGCTTGAGGAACAATGTCCTGAGGAAGGGGCTCTGAGTGTCCGTCTGGAGAGGGGAGGCATTCAGGGGGTGCTGGCGAAAGACATGTGCCATGGCCTGGGCAGGGGGGTCGCACTTTGGAGGAACTAAATGGCTCTTGTCACAGGAAAAGCGGCATTGCGGGTGGAAGTCAGCAAGGGCAGGATTCTGTCTCCCAAGCTTGAGTGAAGAATGTTACCTCCTTCCTAAGAGCAACAAGGTGCTTCAAAGTGTTTTAGGTTGGCATGGGACTGGATCAAAGCAGTGATCCTTGGGTTCCCTGCTGTCAGGGCTGGGTGAGGACCAGATAGGTAATGAAGAACTTTTTTTTTTTTTTTAAAGTCAAGGTTTCACTCTGTTGCCCAGGCTGGAGTGCAGTGGCATGATCACGGCCACTGCAGCCTCAACCTGCTGGGCTCAGGCAATCTTTCTGCCACAGCCTTCCAAGTAGCTGGAACCACAGGCATGTGCCACTACAACTGGAAATTTTTTTTGTTTATTGTAGAGAAGAGGTCTTGCCAAGTTGCCCAGGCTGGTCTTGAACTCCTGGCTTAGGCAATCCTGTTGCCTCCACCTCCCAAAGTGTGGGGATTATAGGCATGAGCCACCGTACTGGCCTGATTTTCTTTCCTAAATAAAAATTACTTTTTAGACCAGGCACGGTGGCTCAAGTCCTGCCTGTAATCCCAGCACTTTGGGATACCAAGGTAGGAGCATCGCTTGAGCCTGGGATTTCAAGACCCGCCTGGACAACATAGCGAGACCTCATCTCTCCAAAAAAAAGAAAGAAAGAAAAGGAAAAATTAGCCAAATGTGATGACGCGTGCCTTTAATTCCAGCTACTTGGGAGACTGAGTTGGAAGGATTGACTGAGCCCAGGAGGTTGAGGCTGTGGTGAGCTGTGATCATGCCACTGTACTCCAGCCTGGATGATGGAGTGAGACCCTAATTCAAAAACAAAGAAACAAATAAAAAAGTTATCCTTTTAAAAAAAAAAATCTTCTCCCATTTTCTCTTTAAAAAAACACAACTTTTTATTTGGACATAATTTTAAATTTGGGGGTAAGTTTCATAAATAAGGACAGGATGAAGTACTTTTTACTTGAAGTAATATTAAAAATTTATATTAAAATTATTTCCATTATAAAAGCAGCGCATTTAGTAAAAATTCAGAAATAAGAAATGTGCCAGCTGGCTATCTTCCTCCCAGCTTCCTTGGAGTTGCTCTTTTTGTGTGTTTGGAGCACACCCCTCCATATCTTTTTCTAAACTCTGTGCTGGGAGATGAGCTGTCCAGGCCAGGGAACCCTGTGGGCTGGGAGGTCTATGTAGGTTGCAGGTGGTATCTGAAGACTCATTTTCACAAGGAGTTGAGCACGGCGATTGCTCAAGGACAGGGAATGAAATGGGAAGACACAATGCTTCAAGTAGTGGCCTGGGGCAGGGCGGATAAGAAGAGTGGACAGCGTGAGCAGAGGGCAGGAGGAGTATGAGGTGACCCCATCATGGACTCTGGAAGACCCCAGAGTTTCTATACTGTTATAGAAACTCTGAGATCTGAGTGGAGGTCAGGGTAGAGGGGCCGTAGTGGCAGACAGAGGACCTGTGGAACTGTCAAGACAAGAGCAAAGGTCTAAAGTTAGGAGGTTTCTAGGAAAAAAGATTTAAAAAATTAAAAAAGACAAGGGCTGGCCGGGCTCTGTGGCTCAGCCTGTAATCCCAGCACTTTGGGAGGCCGAGGCAAGTGGACTGCCTGAGTCCATGGGTTCGAGACCAGCCCAGGCAGCTTGGTGAGACCTCATCTCTACAATAAAATTAAAAATTAGCCAGGCGTGGTAGCACATGCCCGAAGTTCTGGCTACTCGGAAGACTGAGGTGGAAGGATCGCCAGAGCCCAGCAGGTCGAGGCTGGGGTGGTGGTGAGTGTGCCACTGCAGCCTGGGCGACAGCGTGAGACTCCAACTCCAAAAAAAAAAAAAAAAAGAAAAGAAAAGAAAACACAAGGGTAAAGGCACAGACTTATGCTGAGTGGGGGTAAATGGTGGAACCCCGGGGGTTTAGTTCAGTTCCCGTAACCGCAACCTGCAATCTGGGCCTCGAGAGGAAGCCAGATGGCTGCAGGTGGCACCTGTCTCCACTCCACCCTGCCCCACAGAGAGGGAGGGCACATGGCAATCGGTCACGCGGGCTCATCCGGGTGGCCATTGCTGCCTGTGCTTTTCTCCAGCTCCTTGGTTAGCTTGATGGAAACGTTCAATGAGAAGTCTGAGCAGCTGGTGGAGATTCTCGAAGCCAAGGCGGATGGGCAGACCCCGGTGTCCATGCAGGACATGCTGACCTGCACCACCATGGACATTCTGGCCAAGGTGATGGGTGACAGCTGGGCGTGGGGGCCAGGAGGGCCACATGGGGTGGAGGGTCCTCATCTGTCCCTCTTCCCTTTCCTTCCCTCCCCACCTCCCCCCTGCTCTTCCAATGTTCCCGCAGGCTCCTCTCTGTGCAGCCTGTATTTTGTCTCCCTGAATAGTCAAAGCAACCTAGGGTAAGAGTGGGCCTGCTAACCCATTCTCTAGAATCAGAGACTAAGAGGCATAAGGCCTGGTCTGTAGCTGGTCAGTGACAGCAGTAGGATTCAATCTCAGGTCTGCCTGACCTCAGCCCGCGGCCTGCCTCACCTCTGCAGAAATACCATGGGGTATTTCTTGGTTCTTCACCCCGACAGACTCAGCAGTGTCCCTGATAACCCCGACCCCCATACAAAGGCAGGGCAGACAACCGCAGCAGGGGGGCAGCGAGCGGAGTCATCATTGTCATTGTCGTCATGCCCACCACTCACTGGGGAAGATGGGCACAGAGTGAGCACCTAAGGAAGGTTGCATTTCAGGGAAAATGCACCACGTCATGGCAGGAAGCCAAGGTTTATTGAGTAGCTATTATGTGCTAACTCAAGCCTCCCAACATCCCATGGGGTTTGAATTACCATGGGTCACTGTATGGAGGTGATGATCTGATGCCTGCAGACCCCGATTTAGCCCGGGGCCTGGGTCTCCAGCTGAATGGGGTCGGGTTCTGCCCCGGCTCTCCTCTACTCCTGTGTCCTGGTATGACCTTGCCCCCGCCCTCTCTCCCTCTCCCAGGCAGCTTTCGGGATGGAGACCAGCATGCTGCTGGGTGCCCAGAAGCCTCTGTCCCGGGCAGTGAAACTCATGTTGGAGGGGATCACAGCATCCCGAAACACTCTGGCGAAGGTACTGGCTTAGCAGCCCCTCTGGTGACCAGCCACCATGGCTATATTGTCCTCATTTGCTAAAGTCCCTCCTTCAGTGGTTCTTTTCAGAGTGGGTTGTAAATTCTGGTATTTCTTTTTTTTTTTTTGAGTTGGAGTCTCACTCTGCCACCCTGACTGGAGTGCAGTGGCACGCTCCTGGCCACCGCAGCCTTGCCTTGCTGGGATCCAGTGATCCTTCTGCCTCAGTCTTCTAAGTAGCCAGAACTACAGGCGCACACTACCACGCTTGGATACTTTTTTTTTATTTATTGTAGAGATGAGGTCTTGCCAAGTTGCCCAGGCGGGTCTCAAACCTGCGGGCTCAGGCAATCCACTCGCCTCAGCCTCCTACAGTGCTGGGAGGACAGGCTGAGCCATCAAGCCCGGCCGAGTTCTGGTATTTCTGAAATGACTTCTGAATCAGGTTTGCATGCATTGCTTTAGGTAGAGGCTCAAAATCAAAGTGACTTAAAGTAACCTAGGAGTTCATCTTTCTCTGATATAAAAATGATTCCCAAAGCAGGCAACCTGGATGGCTGTGATGGCTCCACAATGTCAGATTTTTCTGGATCCTTCTGTCTTTCTGTTCCCCTGTCCTCAGCACATCATGTCATTGTCATAAGCTGGTAGCTGCAAGAAGGACACCTTGTCCTCCATTGCCCCATTGCTGATGCCCACATGTACCATCTGGGGGCCTGGGGATCAATCCACCATGCCTGTTGCTGTCAGTACCCATGCATACAGATGGGGGACTCAGGAGGGGCCCACCCTGCCTGCTGGTGCTGGTGCCTATGTGCAACATCAAGGAGCCTGGGGATCAACCCACCTTGCCTGCCATTGCTGGCACCCACACATACCATTGGGAGCCTGGAGATCTACCTGCCCCACCCACTGCTGCTGGTGCATGTGTGTGCCATCAGAGGACAGAGGACAAGCCCACCCATCCCACCACCCATGGTTGCCTACACCCAAGCATGCTGCCTGCGGGCCTAGGGATTGACTTTCTCTACACAATATTGGGGCGCACCTGAGGACAGGCCCACCCCACTTGCCTCTGCTGGCATCTGCACATGTTCTCTGAAGGCTTGAGGACGATCCCACCCTACCCACTGCTGCCATCACTGGTGGACTGACTTGCCTGACATCCCTGTCACCAGCAAAGCCTCACAATGGCCTCAACTAACAACTACAGTCTAAGCCACTGAGAAGTTCACAGACACCACTGATGCTGATTAGAGCCGAGAAAATCCTGCAGATACTACACTACTGCACCAATCCAGAATCAAAGCCAAAGCACTCTACCCACCCAAGACTGTAGATACATCTATAGAAAAAAGGCTTGCCCTATAAAAACCAATCCATAAAACTGGAAGACATGACTGTTATCTCAGATGCACAGATATCAACATAAGAACACAAGAAACATTTTAAAAAGTAAGGAAACATGACACTGCAAAAGAAGTACAATAACTCTTCAGTAACAGATTCTGAAGGAAATCTGCAATGTGCCTGAAAAAGAATTCAAAGTGAAGATATATATGATGACATGTATAAGGACAAAGAAATACACAGAAATCAGGAAAACAATTCATAATCTAAATGAGGAATTTGACAGAGATAAATGTTAAAAAAATAAACAAATGGAAAGCTTGAGGCTGAAGAATTAAAGGAAAGAAAAAATACAGTTGAAAGGTTTAATGATAGACTAGAGCAAGCAGAAGTAATTTTTGAACTTGAAAACAGGTCTTTTGAAATAACCCAATGAGACAAAAGAAACGAAAGGAAAAAAGAACAAAAAAGAATGAAGAAAACCTACATCACATAATGAAGAAAGCCTAAATCACATGTGACACCAGAAAGTGACCAAATATTCAAATATTGGGAGTTTTATAAGACGAAATGGACAAAGGCATAGAAAACCTATTTAATGAAATAATGATTGAAAAATTATCAAGTCTGGCAAGAGGTAAATATATCCTGATACAACAACTCAACGGTTCCCAAACAGATTCAACCCTAAAAGTTCTTCTCTAAGGCACATTGTAGCCAAACTATCAAGAGTCAAAGACAAAGAGAGAATTTTAAAAACAGCAACAGAAAAGCATCAAAAGGATTCACATGTAAGTGAATCCTCATCAGAATGACAACAGATTTCTCAGGAGAAACTTTACAAGTCAGGAGAGAATGGGATAATATAGTCAAAGTGCTGAAAGAAAAAAATTGTCAGCCGAGAATACAATAGCCAGCAAAACTAACCTTCAAAAATGAAGGAGAAATAAAGTCTTTCCCAGACTAGAAAAACTGAGGGAATTCATCACCATTCGACCAGCCCCATAAGAAATACTTAAGGGAGTTTCACATCTGGAAATGAAAGGACAGCATCTACCATCATGAAAACACATAGAAGCATAAAACCCACTGATACAGCAGATACACAAATGAGAAAGAGAAAAGAGTCACACATTTCTATTACAGAAAACCACCACACCAAAATGATAAACAACAAAAGAGGGTGGGGCCCAAGAAGGGGCTGGGTGTCGTGGTTCATTCCTGTAATCCTAGCACTTTGGGAGGCCAAGGCAGGAGGATAGCTTGAATGCAAGAGTTCGAGACCATCCTGGGCAACATAGCAAGACTAATCTCTACAAAAAATCAACAAATTAGCCGGACATGGTGGCACACACCTGTCATTCTACCTACTCAAGAGGCTGAGGCGTAAGGATTGCCTGAGCCCAAGAGGTCTAGGCAGCAGTGAGCCATGATCACACTACTGTACTCCAATTTGGGCAACAGAGTGATACCCTCACTCAAAAAAAACAAGTAAACAAACAAAAAAGAAATAAAGGAACAAAGGATGTACAAAGCAACCAGAAAGCAACAAAATAACTGGAATAAGTCCTTGCCTATCAATAATAACCTTGAATATGAATAGATTAAATTCTTCCACTTAAAAGATATAGATTGACTGAATGAATTTAAAAACATGACCCAATTGTATGCTGGCTATTAGAACTCTAGACAGAAAAATCAACAAAGGAACAATGGATTTAAACTTCACTTTAGACCAAATGAACCTAACAGACATTAATAGAACATTTCATCCAATAGCTACAGAGTACACATTCTTCTCATCAGTACACTGGCCATTCTCCAGAATAGATCATATGTTAGGCTATAAAACAAATTTCAACACATTTTTAAAAACTGAAGTCACATCATGTATCTTTTCAGACCACAATGGAATAAAACTAGAAATAAATAACAAGAGAACCACTGGAAACTGTGCAGATACATGGAAATTAAACAACATGCTTCTGAATGACCAATGAAGAAATTAAGAAATTAAGAAACAGGAAGTCAAAAATTTCTTGAAACAAATGAAAATGGAAATACAATACACTGAAACTTATGGGATACACCAAAAGCATGGTAAGAGGGATATTTATAGCCGTAAACACCTACATCAAAAAGGTAGAAAGAGTTCAAATGATCAAACCTGATGATGTACTTTAAGGAACCAGAAAAACAAGAGCAAACCAAACCCAAAATTAGTAGAAGGAAAAAGATAATAAAGATCATAGCAGAACTACATGAAACAGAAACTTAAAGGAGATAAACAAAATCAACAAACCACTAGGCTAACCAAGTAAAAAAGAGAGAAGACCCAAACGAATAAAATTAGAAATGAAAAAGGAGACATTACAACAGATACCACAGAAAAGCAAGGGATCATTACAAACTATTATGAACAATTATACAATAATCAGTTGGAAAGCCTACAGGAAATGAAATTCCTGGACAAATATAACCTACTAAGATTGAACCAGGAAGAAATAGTAAACTTGAACAGACCAGTTACAAGCAATGAAATTAAAACAGTAATAAAATGTCTCCTGAGAAAGAAAAGCCCAGAACTGGATGACTTTACTGCTGAATTTCATCAAAATTACAAAGAACAACAATTCCTCTCAAACTACTCCAAAAAATTGAAGAGGAGGGAATTCTTCCTAATTCATTCTGAGGTCACCATTACCCTGATTTTACAGCCAGACAAGGACACAACAAAAAAAAGAAAACTACATGCCAGTATTCCTGATGAACATCGATGCCAAAGCCCTCATCAAAATACTCTCAAACAATACATCAAAAACATAATTCACCATGATCAAGTGGGATTTACCCCAGGGATGCAAGGATGCTTCAACATACAGAAATCAATAAATGTGATACATCACATTAGCAGAATGAAGGATAGGTACCATATGATCATCTTAATAGGTGCATAAAAAGCATTTTATAAAATTTAACATCCCTTCATGATAAAAACTCTCAACAAATTGGCACAGAAGAGACATACTTCAACATAATAAAGGTCCCCTGTAAAAAACCCACAGCTAACATCATACTGAGTAGAGGGAAGCTGCAAGCCTTTCCTGTAAGAACTGGACCAAGATAAGAATGCCCACTGCCATCACTCTTATTCAACATAGTGCTGGAAGTCTTAGCCAGAGCAATCAGGCAAGAGAAATAAATTAAATTGGAAAAAAGAAATCAAATTGTCCCTCTTTGCAGATGACATGATTTTATATATAGAAAAACCTGAAGACTCTACCAAATGCTCTTAGAACTAATAAATGAATCCAATAAATTTATAGGATAAAAATTAACATACAACTACTTGGAAGGCTGAGGTGGAAGGATAGCCGGAGCCCAGCAGGTCGATGCTGGGGTGGCCATGAGCGTGCACTGCACTCCAGCCTGGGTGATGGAATAACAAAACAAAACAAAACAATAGCATTTCTATATATCAGTAACAAACTTGCTGAAAAAGAAACCAGGAATGCAGTCCCATTTAAAATACCCACCAAAAAAAAACCTAGGAATACATTAAACCAAAGAGATAAGACCTCTAAAAGGAAAACTCTAAAGCACTGATGAAAGAAATTGAAGTGGACACAAACAAGTACAAAGATATTACATGCTCATGGATCAGAAGAATTAATATTGCTCAAATGACCAGACCCAAAGCAATCTACAAATACAATGCAATCCCTAGCAAAATACCAATGACATTCTTTTCAGAACTAGAAAAAGAAATCCTAAAATTTTCATGAAACCACAAAACCATGAAAACCAAATAGCAAAGTAATCTGAGCAAAAAGGACAAAGCTGGAGGCATCACACTACAGAAAATATCTGCAAACTGTTCATTCAACAAGAGATATACTAGAAACATATACAGCATATACAAGAAACACAAACTATTCAACAGCAAAAACAAACAAACAAATAATCTTGTTAAAAAGGTAGCAAAGGATCTGAGCAGACATTTCTCAAAAGACATACAAACTGCCAACAGGTAAATGAAAAAATGTTCAAATCAAAACCGCAGTGAGATATCACCTTACCCCATTTAGAAAGGCTATTATAAAAAAGACAAAAGAAAAAGACCAAAAAAAACAAAAAATGAAAGAGGCAGAGAAACAGAAACTCTTACGCACTGTTGATGGGAATGTAAATTAGCACAGCCATTGTGAAAAACAGTATAGGGGTTTCTCAGAAAACTAAAAATAGAACTACCATATGCTCCAGCCATCCCACTACTAGGTATTTATCCAAAGGAAAGGAAATCAGTATATCAAAGAGATACCTGCACCCCCATGTTTATTGCAGCACTATTCATAATAGCCAAGATATGGGATTGACCTAAGTGTCAATGAATCAACAGGTGAATGGATAAAGAAAATATGGTATATGTTATACACAGTGGAGTACTATTTAGCCATAAAAAAGAATGAAATCCTGTCATTCACAGCAACATAGATACACTGGAGGCCATTATATTAAGTGAAATAAGGCAGACACAGAAAGACAAATACTGTGTGTTCTCACTCGCATCTGGGAGCTATAAAAGTTGATCTCACAGAGGTGAAGAATAGAATGATAGTTACCAGAGGCTGGGAAGACTGAGGCAGGGGATGGGGAGAAATTGGTTATATAGGAGGAATAAGTTCTAGTGTTTGGTAGCACGTAGGGGGACTGCGGTTAACCACAAAGTGTCACATATTTCAAAATAGCTAGAAGAGATTTGAAGTGTTCCCAATTCAAAGAAATGATAAATGTTTGAGATGACGAGTATTCTAAGTGCCCTGAATCACTACATATTGTATTCATGTACCCCGTAAATATATACGATTATTATGTATGAATTAAATATATATATATAATAAAAAGATGGGCCAGGCTCGGTGGCTCAGCCTGTCATCCCAGCACTTTGGGAGGCCGAGGCAAGTGGATTGCCTGAGCCCGTGGGTTCAAGACCAGCCCGGGCAATTTGGCGAGACCTTGACTCTACAATAAACAAAAAACTAGCTTGCCATGGTAGCACATGCCTATAGTTCCAACTACTCGGAAGGCTGAGGCGGATGGATCACCCGAGCCCTGCAGGTTGACGCTGGGGTGGCCGTGAGCCTGAATGCCACTGCACTCCAGCCCGGGCGATGGAATGAGACTCCAACTAAAAAAAAAAAAAAGATAGTGACTGCAGCTCCAGCTATCACTGCCTTGTTCCAGGCATGAATAAGGGAAAAAGAGAAAGAGACCTTCTTGCTCCTTGGGACTTCGGCCTCTGAGCTTGTGGCCCCAGTGCCATCCCATCTTATTGGCAGTTGATTTCTCTCCACTTCCCTCTGGCTGGGATTCCTTCCTTCCATGCAGTTCTAACGACCTCCATCTTTCAGGCTCCCTTTTTATTTCTTGATGCTATGGGGACGGGCTAAGCCTTTTTTCCCATCCCTCCTAAGGGTTGGGAGCAGAAACGGGAAACTGGTGCTTAAGCTCAGTCTACCATCTTGACTTAGTCTCTCCGGTGGCTTTATCCTTTCTTGAATGTTCTCACATTCTTCTGACCTCCCAACTCATCCGTGCTGCTGGGGTTTTCTGAAGCCATTTTGGGGAGATGGGGGAGAGGGGAGAGGGGAAGGTGTGTGTTCTGTCGGCCATCTTGAGCTGGAACTCTGGTTTAGTTCATGCCAGGGAAGAGGAAGCAGCTTTGTGAGATCCGGGAGAGCATTCGCTTCCTGCGCCAGGTTGGCAAGGACTGGGTCCAGCGCCGCCGGGAGGCCCTGAAGAGGGGAGAGGACGTCCCTGCCGACATCCTCACACAGATTCTCAAAGGTGTGGGGTCCCTCCCAGGGCTGGGTGGGGTGGGCCGCAGGGACTGCTCCCGTCAGATGTCCGGTCACCGTGGACTCCATTGGCCTCCATCTGGCTTAAGAGGAGAAAGACAAGTGTTCTTTTATGAACTGTGGGAAACAGGGGCAGAGATCTGCCGGGGACTGAGACTGTCCTTGTCTTTCAGCTGAAGAGGGGGCCCAGGACGACGAGGTTCTACTGGACAACTTTGTCACCTTCTTCATTGCTGGTTTGTAGCTTCAGATGTGATCAGAGGTCCAAGCTCTGCGGAAATGCTGGGAAGCACGGGTCATTCACACCCCGACTCTGAGGGACTCTTTGGGCTGTCTGAGCAGAGTTCAGCTGAAAGATAGGGGGGCCGGGACCAGGTCACAGCACTGGCAGTTATGAGGGTTTGTGAAGCTGGCTATTTTGGCCTGGGAGAGCTGGGTGGTGTGAATACAGGTTCCCCCTCATTTGGAATTTGTGGGGAGGCCTCACTAGATGCACACAGAAAGAGGTGCTGAGCAACCTTGTTCATTTGCTCATCAAATATTTCTTGAGCACTGTCCCCCTGCAAGACTCCTTCTCACCTTTCGGTGAGCCCTCCCCTGAGGGAACCCCAGACTGCCTCAGGCCCTCAGCTGGAAGCTGGCATGGCCTGGCGCTCCTCCTGTTCACACATCTTGCCGTGTGTTTATGTAGGCTACTCCGGTGAGGTCTGTCTCCCACCGGATTGTGTGCTTGATGCGTGCTTGAACGCACAGGTCAGGTTGCTGTGCCCACCTGTACATTCCCAGGGCCCAGTGCACAACAGGAACCCATGGAGGTGGAAGAAATGAAGGAACCAATGGGTGAGCACTGGACACTTGGAGGACGGAGGTGGACAAGATGAAGGAAAGTTCGTAGGCTAATGGCAGGGGTGGACAGGTAGACCAGGATTGATGGGTGAAGAGATCTTCAGGTGGGCGGCATGGAGGAGGACCCTCCTGGCAGGAGACACCCTTACGAATATCCCAGGAGATTTGGGGAAATGGCTAGTGTTGGAGCAAGACCTCAGGGCTCCATTCCCTGCAGAGGACAGAAAGTCCTTCCCGAACACACGGCTGGCCTGCCTTCCTGCGGACAGGAACCCAGGTCCTGGATGGAGCTTCTGGATAGACCTGGGCCTCAGCTTCCTCACCTGTGGAATGGGGGTCTTGATGTGCTCTCCAGGGTCCCATCCAGCCTTCCAGAGAGGATTTAATAATCCCCCCGCATGTCCTGCAACTCAAGCTGTTCCCTCCTGGGCCAGCTTGGAGGGTTTCATCTCGGTCAACTTGGCCAGATCCTTCCAGAACTCAAAATCACCACTCCTGAGTCGATCCCCGCTCACTCATTGGGGAAGGCGCCTGGTCAGACCTCAGGGCTGAAGAGGGTTGGGGAGAGGAACCCTGGCACAGGAAGGATGGGCCTTGGGCTCACAGATTTTGGGTTGAAGGCCAGCTCTTCTCTCCCTGCCATCCAACCAAAGACGCCCCCTCCCCTCAGCCTCTGTTTTTTCTTCTGCCGAATGGGGGTGAGTGCTCCTCCCGGCCAGGTGAGGCCCAGAGGATGGTTGGAAGGGGAGTTTTCAGAGCATAAGGCCCCAGGCAGATGCCATCTTCTCGACCGCACTGGTGGCACAGGGGATACAGAAGCGGACAGACTGTCCCAGCGTATCAGCCATAGGGGGCACAGAGTGGGGTCTGAACCACTGCTGGCCGGCAGGTTGGGGGTCTCAGAGGCAGGGCCGGCAGAGACAGCAGCTCTTGTCTTTTCCCACAGGCCATGAGACTTCTGCCAACCACTTGGCATTCACGGTGCTGGAGCTGTCTCGCCAGCCAGAGATCGTGGCGAGGTAGGGGGGCTGCCCTTTGAGTTGGCAAATGTCTACTGTCTTGTTCACAAAGGCCACCTGTCCCCACCTCCTGTGGTTGAGCCCTCTCCAGTGTGCCCTTCTTCCTTTCACTCCAGGGCCTTTGCATGTGCTGGTTCCTTTTCTGGAAGCTCTCTTCCCTGCTTTTCTTCTGGAGAACTTTCTTCCTCCTCCTCCCCCTCCTCCTCCTCCTCTTCCTTCTCCTCCTCCTCCTCCTCCTCGCCTTCTCAGACCTCTAAAGTAGCCATCCTGTGTTTTTTTTCTCCAAACCCTCTCCCAGCTCATGAATGTGTCCTCTCTTGGGATTATTTGCATGGTGTCCATTTCAGCCATGAGACCCAAAGCTCGCAGCATGCCCAGTTCCTGGCCAGGAATTACTACTCTAGTGCTGAAGACATGCTTGTGTTCCATTGGCAAGACACAGGAGGGCATCCCTGGGGAGACGGCATTTGAGCTGGGCCGCTGGTTTCCTTCAATACAGGCAGGCTCCCTCCAGGACTGTGGCACAGAGAGACTGAACCAAGGGCCACAACTCTCTGGGCCCAGTGGGGAGGTGCGGACAGCCCTCTAATGACAGCTGTCAGTCATCACCAGCACCAAACGGCAGAAGCGGAAGTATGTGTGAAAATATAAAACAGTGTGTTGGGTTTAAAAATAAATATGCTTGTAACATGCACTTCATATAAAAATGTTGGGTCCAGGCTCGGTGGCTCAGCCTGTCATCCTAACACTTTGGGAGGCCGAGGAGAGTGAATGGCCTGAGACCTGCCCAGGCAACTTGGCAAGACCTTGTCTCTACAATAAATCAAAAAAATTAGCTGGGCATGGTGGCACGCGCCTGTAGTTCCGGCTCCTTGGAAGGCTGAGGCGGAAGGATCGCCAGAGCCCAGCGGGTTGAGGCTGCGGTGGC